CATGTTCCTCCACAAGTAAAACAAAAGACCACTATAAAGAGAGACAGAGACAGCAATCAGTTGGACAATGCTTTATTGATATATATACAGTGTTAAAGCAAGTCTCTTATCATAATAATGTGAACTCTAAATACGTTTCATGAATTCATGAATACGTATTTTGCTGCCCTCCCACAGGGGCGATGGCCCCCACACAGGGGATTTGGCCCCCACACAAGGGCTATGGCCCCCCAAAAGGGAGTTCAGCCCCCACACAAGGGCTATGGCCCCCTAACAGGGGATTTGGTCCCCACACAAGGAGTTTAGCCCCCCAACAGGGGTTTCAGTCCCCACACAAGGGCTATGGCCCCCCAAAAGGGGCCAAGTGGCCCCCACAGGGTCTACCACTCCCCTTGCAAGGCCCAAATGCCTCACCCCAGCCCCTCAATTGCTGCCCCACCTGGCCCCATCCCCCACAAGTTGCTCCAGCCCCCCAATGACTGCCCCACAAAGCCTTACCCCTGATCCCCCAGACTCCCCAATGGCTGCTCCACCGAGCCTCACCCCCCCAACTTGCACCATCTTTCAAGATTCAGCCTCCACACTGGCAAGCCATAATTTAGAACAGTGGTTCTCAACCCACAGCCCACATGTGGCTGAATCAACACACAGCTGTGACCCATGGGACATAATATTAAAAAAAAAAAAAAAAGTAATGACAGTTGATAGTGTAAAAATGAGAGGTGTTACAAAATATTGATTTGTATTGCATTACTGGCAGATAACAGATACAAAACATTTTTTAAATGAATACACAGGAAGTAAGCTGCGTGGGTGCAGCCCACATGACACATTGAGGGCACTGTGGTGTTTTTCGGCACTCCGGCCAAAAAATGCTGCCTACCCCTGGACTAGACCTTCATCCCTTTTACCTTAATGACACACATTTCGTTATGAAACTAGCTCATGTAAGCGCTGGATGCAAGAAGGAAACAATATCATGTCTTTTTAGGATACATCTCTGTCCCTAGAGAGAAGAACGTCAGGTAAATCTGATGTTTGTGTTTTTTCCCAGAAAACAAATGGGATTATGTCCAAAATTCAAACATTGCTATTTGTCCACTTAACACAGAGCCTGAGTTAGCACTGCAGTGCTAAGCACTGTTCAGACACGTGATGCGCCCCCACCTCCATGCCCCGAGAAGCTTACAGTCATAGGTCTGCTGATTTATTTGATATAGTTCCAGATCAGTATATTTATGCATGTACTCATTTAGCATATTTCATAGACATCAGGGCTGGAAGGGACCTCGGAAGATCATCGAGTCCAGCCCCCCGCCCAAAGGGCAGGAAGTCAGCTGGGGTCATAGGATCCCAGCAAGATAAGCATCCAGTTTCATCTTGAAAGTGCTCAATGAAGGCGCTTGAACCACCTCCGGTGGCAGGCTGTTCCAGACCTTGGGGGCTCGGACAGTAAAGAAGTTCTTCCTTATGTCCAGCCTGAAACGATCTTGAAGTAGTTTGTGACCATTCGACCTCGTCATCCCTTGGGGCTCTCTGGTGAACAAACGTTCCCCCAGATGCTGGTGGTCACCCCTGATAAACTTGTAGGTGGCCATCAGATCACCCCTGAGCCTGCGCTTTTTCAGGCTAAAGAGCCCCAGGGCTCTCAGCCTGTCATCGTAGAGTCTGCTTCCCTGACCTCTGATCATGCGCGTGGCTCTTCTCTGGACTCTCTCAAGCTTCTCCACATCCTTTTTGAATTGTGGAGCCCAAAACTGGACACAGTACTCCAGCTGCGGCCTCACTAAGGCCGAGTACAGGGGGAGAATGACGTCCCGAGATTTGCTTGAGTAGCATCCCGGGATTTGCTTGAGACGTCCCGGGATTTGCTTGAGATCATCGAGTCTGACCCCCTGCATAGGCAGGGAAGAGTGCTGGGTG